TGTTGAGTTTTATAGATATCCGCCGAAATGGGTATCATGTTGAGACAATAGATGAAATGAACGGGGAATATCTTTATATTACAAAGAATATTTCTGACCAGAAATGTATTGTAGAAAAGTTACCAACTTTATCTTCTGGCTTATACTATTCAAAAATTAGTACAATTGAAGCACACTCTATCGTAAACCAGAAGTTTACGAATTCAAATACTTTTGTGCTTTGGCATGGTCGTTTGGGCCATCTCGGATCAATAATGATGAGACGAATTGCTGAAAATTCGAGTGGGCATCCATTAAAGAACTTGAAGATTCTTACAAATGACGAATTTTCTTGTGATGCTTGTTATCAAGGAAAAATGATCACTAGACCATCACCAATGAAGGTTGGTATTGAATCTCCTACCTTTTGAGAGCGTATACATGGGGATATATGTGGACCTATACACCCACCAAGTGGGTTGTTTAGATATTTTATGGTCCTAATAGATGCATCTTCAAGATGGTCTCATGTGTGCCTACTATCATCTCGCAACCTGGCGTTTGCAAAGCTATTAGCCCAAATAATTCGATTAAGGGCACAATTCCCAGATTATCCTATAAAGGCTATTCGCCTTGATAATGCTGGAGAATTCTCATCTCAAGCTTTTGATGATTATTGTCTATCCGTTGGGATAAAAGTTGAACATCCTGTAGCTTATGTTCATACTCAAAATGGCCTTGCAGAGTCATTTATTAAACGCCTGCAATTGATAGCAAGACCACTACTTATGAAAACAAAATTGTCCACTACTGCTTGGGGCCATGCTATCTTGCATGCAGCATCACTTATCCGTCTCAGACCGACACATTATAATAAATATTCTCTGTCACAATTAGTTTTTGGTCATGAACCAAATATTGCCCATCTACGAATTTTCGGATGTGCTGTATATGTACTAATAGCACCACCACGACGTAGTAAGATGGGACCACAAAGAAGGATAGAAATATATGTTGGGTTTGAATCACCCTCTATTATTCACTATCTTGAACCATTGACAGGAGATTTGTTTACTGCTCAATTTGCAGATTGTCGGTTTGATGAAACAAATTTTCCACAATTAGGGGGAGAGAAAAAGGAAATCAAAAGAGAAATTGTGTGGAAAATTTCATCATTATCTCACTCCGTACCCCTATATGTAATCAGGAGGTCCAGAAGATCATCCATTTACAGAATATAGCAAATCAAATGCCAGACGCATTTACTGATTTGAAAAGGATAACTAAGTCACATATCCCAGCAGAGAATGTGCCTATCCGAATTGATGTCCCAGTAGGACCATCTACTAGCATGAGAG